CAACTGAATATCATTTAATAGATGGGCAATGCAAGAACCAAGCATGTCCCCAAAGCCATAAAGCCTAGAGGAAAATATGAAAAGGGATACATGTCAACCGTTCGATGCAGAAGCATGGAGCCAGCCAACAAAAACATCCCAAATACCACTCGTACACCCTCACGTGCACCAAACTCGACACCACCAAACGAACCACACCCCGCATTCCCAAAGGTATGCAAGCAAATGGAACATCAAGTGATGCCAAGTTTGACATCGCTAGGCATGAAAATCAATGAGACATATGTAAGACTTTCTTGCCCTATATTTTTCTCATGATGAATAAGAAAAAATGCAACGAATAATGACTTTCTATTTTTTAACATCAGGTTCAGGCATAATCATAGAAGGATCATATACCATATTCATCATTTTCCAATTAAAACACTCATCATGGAAATGTAGCCGACTTTTATTAAGTTCAGGGACAAAGTCAAATATATAAGGTTTTAATACTATAAATTTTCCCACCATGAATACCAAATACATCGAATCATAACCATCTCTATTTGTCGACATCAAGGTCAAGTATAAAAAAATCATATACATTTTTCATCATCTGTCGACTGAAAGACTCATCATTAAAGGCAACCAATTTTTACTAAAATAAGGGAATGGCCAAATACATAAGGTTTTCACACCTATATTTTCTCACAAACAATACCAAATGCATGTAATAATAAGGATCTCAATTTTTTGACATCAGTATTAGGCATGTTCATAGAGGATCATATACCATTTTCATCATTTGTCGATAAAATATTGATCATGTAAATATAATCCATTTTTACCAGGTTTAGGGACAGGAACATTATTGTACATAGACATCAAGTGCACTACTTTCAAATCCCTAACAAACCCAAGAATAGGTGTGGGTGGAATAAGCCCTCTAAATCAAATGAATATCAATTAATAGATAGGCAATGCAGGAACCAAGCATGTCCCCAAAGCCATAAAGGCCAGAGAAAAATATGAAAAGGGATACATGTCAACCGTTCGATGCAGAAGCATGGAGCTAGCCAACAAAAGCATCCCAAATACTACTCGTACACCCTCACGTGTGCCAAACTCGACACCACCAAACGAACCACACCCTTCATTCCCAAAGGTATGCAAGCAAATGGAACATTAAGTGATGTCAAGTCTGACATCGCTAGGCATGAAAATCTATGAGATATATATAAGGCTTTCTTACCCTATATTTTTCTCATGATGAATAAAAAAATGCAACGAATAATAACTTTCTACTTTTTGACATCAGGTTCAGGCATAATCATAGAAGGATCATATACCATATTCATCATTTGCCAATTAAAAACTTATCATGGAAATGTAGCCGAATTTTATCAAGTTCAAGGACAAAGTCAAATATATAGGGTTTTAATACCCTAAATTTTTCCACCATAAATACCAAATACATCAAATCATAACTATCTCTATTTGTCGACATCAAGGTCAAGTATAAAAAGATCATATACCGTTTTCATCATCAATTGACTGAAAGACTCATCATTTAAATGCAACCGATTTTTCCTGAAGTAAGGGACATGGACAAATACATAAGGTTTTAACACCCTATATTTTCTCACAAACAATACCAAATGCATGTAATAATAAGGGTCTCAATTTTTCGACATCAATGTTAAGCATGTTCACAGAGGATCATATACCATTTTCATCGTTTGTCGATAAAATATTGATCATGTAAATATAATTCATTTTTACCAGGTTTAGGAGCAGGAACATTATTGTACATATGCATCAAGTGCACTACTTTAAAATCCCCAACAAACCCAAGAATAGGTGTGGGTGAAGTAATCCCTCCAAATCAAATGAATTATCATTTAATAGATAAGCAATGCAGGAACCAAGCATGTCCCCAAAGCCATAAAGGCCAGAAGAAAATATAAAAAGGGATACATGTCAACCGTTCGATGCAGAAGCATGGAGCCAGCCAACAAAAGCATCCCAAATACCACTCGTACACCCTCACGTGCGCCAAACTCGACACCACCTAACAAACCACACCCCGCATTCCTAAAGATATGCAAGCAAATGGAACACCAAGTGATGCCAAGTCTAACATCACTAGGCATGAAAATCTATGGGACATATATAATGCTTTCTTACCCTATATTTTTCTCATGATAAATAAGAAAAAATGCAACGAATAATGACTTTCTACTTTTTGACATCAGGTTCAGGCATAATCATAGAAGGATCATATACCATATTCATCATTTGCCAATTAAAACACTCATCATGGAAATGTAGCCGAATTTTATCGAGTTCAGGGACAAAGTCAAATATATAGGGTTTTAATACCCTATATTTTCCCACCATGAATACCAAATACAATGAATCACAACCATATTTAGGTATCGACATCAAGGTGAAGCATAAAAAATTCATATACATTTTTCATCATTTATCGACTAAAACATTCATCATTTAAATGCAACCAATTTTTACTAAAGTAAGAGGCATGGACAAATGTATAGGGTTTTAAAAAATTCCTAATAAGGCCTAAATAATGATGGTTAGGTCACTTAATTTTTAGGTTGACTATCCCTTCCTTTGACTATGGTTGATCCTTCATTCTTGTGGGTGGGCTCCCTAACAACTATCTTCCTTAAAGGCATAAACATAATTTTTCACTCTTCTAAAAATTTCAACAAGACTTTATCTTTGCCTCTCCCTCTCAAGTTGTCTGCTAAAGAACTATTTAGTTAATACTTTAATTATGGAGAAAATAATATTATAAATTATATAATGCACCTAACTATTTGTGTGACAAAATAACTTTCTTAGACAATAAAATGTGTATGATAGAACTCTTAGGATCAAACAATAAAATAATTTTTTTAAAATAATAAAACTAATAACAAACTTGGAACTTAACCTAACTACCTGTGTGACAAAACAACTTACTTAGATAATAGAATGTATGATAAAACTCTTAGGCTCAAACAATAAGATAATGAAACTAATAACAAACCTGGAACCTAACCTAACTATCTGTGTGACAAAACAACTTTCTTAGACAACATAATGTATGATAAAACTCTCAAACTCAAACAATTAAATAATTTTTTTTAAAATAATGAAACTAATAACAAACTTGGAACTTAGTCTTCAGCAAGAGAAGTTAAAAAAAATGCTCTCAAAGCTAAAATTATAGAACTGGAAAATATTGAAAAACCCTACCTTGAAACTCAAGAAGCCTTGCCCTTGAGTTAAGTAGACAAGTTAAAAAAAATAGTTTTAAAATATTTATGACTTTACACACATTATTCTAATTTATATATGGATAAATATTATTTTCCTAAAAAAGATACATTTGTTTATATCAAATATCATTCTTTATATGGGTTATTTATGTTATTTAAACACATTTAATCCCCATTTTACACAACAAACATGAAGGGAGATCAATTTTAATTCTTCCCATTTATTTTTTCCCACAAAATAATCTAACAATTATCTCATTCTACTTTTTTTTTCTTTGCATTTCTTTTCTTACACCTCTTTAGTGATCTCATTCAAAATAAAATAATAAATGATTTGATTTGAAAAATTAAATTAACATAAAATTGTTAATTGAATAATTAATACTTTTTTCCTAAAGTGAAAGATAAAGTAGATGGGTGAAATGTAATTGTATATGCATTATAAATTTACTAAAATTTCAATTTTTTACTTGTTAATTTTAATTAATGTTTATATTTTGTAATTTTACTTTAGAGAATCAATTTGTTTATATTTTATATCTCTTTTCCTTCTTTTTAACATAAACAAATTGGATTGTATCATAATTCATATTGTCTATTATGTGTATTTTAAGAAGTTATTGAACATAAACCAAAATGACGATAACAACACTACTACTTGGTTAATAGTATTACAAAGAATAATGATGTATCAATATCCCACGATATAATATTTTGATTAGATAAATTTTTTGTAAATTTATATAAAATATTAATTAAATTTAAAGAAGATTTATAATTTTTTTCCAAGTAAAAATTATAATTAAAGATTATAAAGTTTAAATTTAAGATGTTGGGTATTTTATTTCAATTCTATGTCATTATACATATCCTAGTAATTCAAAAGTTCTCCTATTTAATTATTTTCTATAAATTTGAATGCTAAAATTGATATTGGAACAATTTGTTTAAAATTTTAAAAAATGATTATGAAATAATTATTTAATTCTTAAAAAATAAACAGATGCTTACTTATAAAATACTCACTTTAGATAAACATTTAAAAAACTATTTATTATATTTAAAAATGTTTTTAAATTAAATTAAATAAATGGACCATTAATATATATAAAGAAAAAATAATTTATTTTGGGTCAGTTTCTTATACATGTTAAAAGAATACAATGAACTTCATATGTTGTCAGCTTTTAATTATTTTGAAAACGGAAACTAAGGCATGATCTTTTCTATAAGTTTAAATTTAAAAAATAATTTAGTATGGTTACAATGATCTTATTGGGCTAAAAATGTCAATTTTCAAAATTTAAAATTTAAATCTATATCTCATTAAACAAGTTTAAGCAAACAATTAACTAGCTCATCCAATATCATCACATCTACACTATCTACATATTATACTTTATTGCAGAGAAAGAAAAGAAAAAGGAATAGCACAATAATATAAAAAAAACCATAAACTTATTCTTCGTTTCTCACTTTTTTTTTTGCAGAGAATTTATCTCACTTTATAATTAGAAACATAATTTCCCTTTATGTTGTTTGAATATAGATGTTTTCATTTAGTGATGTAGTTTGATTTGATATATCTTCTAACATTTAAATTAAAATAATTATTTGAATAAAAATAATTTTAGTAATTATTTTTTAGTTAATAATAATATGAAAAGATTAAAAATCTATTAGTTATAAAGGAAATCAAAATAGAAAATTTATTGCAATCAAAAGCTTGAAATGAAACTACCTCATAGATACCATTCGTGCTTGCAATGGTGCAATGACTTTTAGCTTCACACTCATGATTATCTTCAAAGACCTCAACAGATCTCTAACACTGCATGAGCACATCAAAGATTTATGTTGTGTTATAAAAAAGTATTAACTATTTTATAATACAACATAAATCCTATCCATGACACTAACTAGAGATTAAAATGAGTATAGGAAATGCAATTAAAAAAAGAGGACGTTACATTAGGGGGAAAAACACCTTGGTTGAACAAATTCACTATCTTAAGTTTTTGCTTGTGCTTGCTCTTTAGATCAACTGCATCGATTTATCACCTAGCATTAAACAATATATATATATATATATATAACAACATAGGATCATTATTATTATTATATAAATAATTTTAATAACATATACATAAAATTGATAATGGCATTTTACGTGGAAGTATGCAACTTAAGTAACCTATTTAACTACTATAAAGAATAATACCACAACAAGATACATAGAAGCTGATAATGAAGGAAGCAATAAACCCTTTAAAAAAGAGTAAGTGTCTTCTAAAATTTTGTTTAACATGTGCAACCCTTCACTACTATTTACTATATGGATAATGTAGCTAAATTAGTTTTGTTTTGTTGGAGATGAACTCTCTCCCTTTCAAAAATATAAATAAATAGAACAAAAGAATATCTCTCAAAAAATAAACAAATAGAACAAAAGAATATCAAGATGGAAATAAGATTGAGTAGTGTTGTGTGATGATGTATGCACTCATAAAGGGTGGAAATTTCAATGTGGCTTTTGGGAAAGTACCATGACCAACAACAAAAAACAAAAATGAATAAAGATACTTAAGGAGATAATAGAAGTTTAATCTGTCATTTATTACTATCTTGATTTTGCTAAAGGGATGCCTGATAGGAAAGTCAAGAGCATTATGATCATTATGAAGATCATTACTTCCAAAAATTTTTGAAGATCATTATGATCTTCCCACTCATTTAGAAAGGGGAAAGTATACATCGTTCTTTCTATACTAAAAATGAAAGGAAAAAGATAAGAGGAATATTTGACATGAAGATATTAATAAAATAATATTATCAATACATTTATAAGAATTTTTTACTCCTCATAATGTTTCTGTCTTTGTTATATTCAATCGCTACTCCGAAATTATTCACCTCAAATTCAAGAATCAAAGTTTCAAAACATTGATTTCAAGAATTTTTTTCTTGAGCTATTTCATACCCTTCGTTGTTATATTCAATAGCTGCTCTGTTTATAATTTGTTTCTCCGTTATTTCAAGAGTACAACACAATAAGTAAGAAGAAGTTCCTGATCATATAATTAACTTTTAGTTTAACCCAAAAATGGTTTTGAAGAACATCTTGAACAACACACTAAAATGGTTTTCAAGTTTGAGCAATCAAGACTTGTCGATTTTCATAGGCAATGTCAACCCAGAGGATTTAAGGACACTCAAGGTTAAAAAAATGAGTAAGAACGATAAGTTGCTGCCTTCAAATAGAGAAAACAATTAGAGAAGTACCTTGCACATAGCATTATCTTGAGCCTGAGGAGTTGCAAACTTGCTATAAATCCCGCAATCTGTATCAAGAAGAAACTAAACTAAGACAGAGATTTGTAACAGAAGTATCAGGATCCATAGATTTATCTTGAGTTTGAGGAGTTGCAAGAAAATCCAATAATATGTATCAAGAAATTAAACTGAGACAGTGTTTTGTAACAAAAGTATCAAGAACCATAGCATTATCTTGAAAATGAGGAGTTGCAAGAAATGCAAGAAATCCAGCAATCTGTATCAAGAAGAAATTAAACTGGCAAGCAAATTTGTGATAGATACCTAATTAAATCTGTATCAAGACATACCTAATTAAATATGTATCAAGAAACACTGTGTATCAAGAAGCATCTTCTTTTCTTTGATATGCTTGTGCTGTCCTCTGTAAATACAATATAATACAGAATGGTCGTGTAACTCATACCATTTCTATTTAAGTTTAATTTTAATTAAAAAGATAATATTATTTAACAAATACACCAGAGGCTAGAAAGAATGTATTTTATAAATGTGGTTAAAAAACAACCGAACAAAGAAAAACAAATACATGTTCAAGAATTTCAACAAGTACAAGTAGAAAAGCTCTACTTGTACTTGTGCATTCTACTTCTTGAGTTGAACTTCGAAGAGATAAGAAACGGATGACAGATAACTCAGAAACAGATAGGAACTTTTAAAAAGCAGAGACACATTTAAGTGTTTGGGACGTGTGAATCCATTACATAGAGACCACCAAAAAATCCCTCAGCCCAAAAAGTCCATTTATGAAAAAATTCATAAAGTCAAAAGCCCACAAAAATAGAAGTAATATTTTAACCAATATTTATGTTTTAAAAAATTAATATTTTAACAAAATAGCCATTTGTGTAAAACAAAAGCTAAAATGAACATCACTCCAATCAAAGTAAGAAGAAAGCCATGCACTCACCGTATTAAACGTTCAACTGCTTGTGAACCATATCCAAGCTGAAATCAAAGAAAGATAAAAGATAAGTGGGGTGTTGGAATTCTGGAAGAATCTGGTAAAACAAAACCATAAACCAAAAGATAAGTGGGGTGTAGCAATGTGTACAATGCGAGCACCTGAAAGTGAGGGAAAAACTGTGTCTCGAAAATGCTCACAGAATTTCCATGGTATTTGATCTCCAAAAGGTTTATGACCATTGCTCAAACTTTGGATTGCTGACTGATGAGATATTGACCCCTCAAGGCAAACCTGAAAATAAAAGATATGAAATATGTGATGTCACCAAAAAAAGCAACCTTAAGAAACAGAAAATGGGACAACAAGCATAACCATCTGTAGCATGACCATAAATAACAAGAAATTCCAAACTTAAAACAACACCATGGAAAGAAATGGAAGTTGCAGCTGTGTAAACGAAATCATGCAACCACCATAAAGTTTAAATAATTCAGTTAGTCCTCAATTTATATAGAAACGGAACTGCAAGCTTCAACTATTTTAAACCATTAAAAGATATTGTCCTAGTTTATAGATAGTTTCAGTATCAAGAAATCTGTTTCTTACAAATTCCTTGATGTGACATGTGTGTTGCTTTGTAGAAGGCCACAACACAATTTTAGACAATTTAACTCTAGATCTCTCTTGGCAATTTAATTTGTAATTTTTGTCGGTGATATCATGGCTTGTTCAGTTCAACGACATGTTTCCATTTCCTGCTTTCACTAAATAATTACCAAAAACACCACCTTGTTTTCAAAGATTTATACACATGAGGAAAGCATTGCTTTTGCCATTTCCTATACAAACTTTGAAAAATAGAAAAATAAAATGAAATTATGAAAACAAGGTGAAACTCTTGTAATTATTGATAAAAACAAATATTTTCTTAATCCTTGAACCAAAAAATCCTTTAGTTCTGTTAGAACAGGGTGGGCAAGCAAGCCCCGTAATGGAAGCCAATAAGACAGACACAATATACAGAAATGCTAAAAAAAAAAGAAAAAGATTGCTTATGTCAAAGATGCATACCTGGATGACACAAAATATCAGGAAGATAATTCTTCGATTCATCAACAGGTCCTGTCACACAAATATCATTATATGTCCAATGCAAGTCATGTCAGTTAAAACAGATGGACCAAAGCAGAACTAGAAAGAAAATCATGTATACCAAGTAATACAAAAAAAGATGGTGTGCTGGAGCATCTACACTCAGTTGAAGATCATTTGGAGAATTCTTGTAATGCGATACAACATATATGGCCATAATTCGCTGCAAGAATGACAAAACTTTAGCACCCCATTTAAACATGTGAAAATATTAATCACAAACCACCCAACATCATCAGATAAATCTGGTCTTACCTGCAAAAACAATTCACAATCTTTGTGATAGGAAAAAAGAATATCCCGATTAACATAGTATAGATCACACTCACTATGAGGTAACCTAATTTGAGAACAAAAGAACCATAAATGGATATTGAAAAAACTTTCTCATCTTCCAACAAAACATGAAATAAGCTAGAAATAATCTCTAAGATTAGGGATGGCATTTGAAACATCTAAGCAAAGTAATGTGTTGAGCCAAGTTTCAATAGGATCCCCAAAAGTGTATCTCATGGGTTCACTCAGTTCTCTTTTCTTAAATAGACAACCTGAGAGATAATTTTTTTTTTTTTTGCAACAACTCATGCACCCTTTAAAAATATGTGCATCACAATAATTTAATGGATTTTTTGAAACCAAATATCTTAATTTCATAATCCATTTAGAATGTATTTCCATTATGAATTGTAGATGACATGCACGTTTTTTATTAAGGTGATGTTTTAAAGCTAGTAGCAAAAATAAGCACCAGAACCAGTGCCCTCTGTGCTCTTGGAAGACATCCAGTACCTTCAAACCTTTTGATTTAAAAGAAAACAGTTTTTTTCAGTTCTCTTAAATGGAGAGACATATAAAACATTGTTAAAGAGATGCAGGGCCAACAATAAAAAAATGATTAATAGCTCCCCTTCGGCATAAGAAAAAAATATAATCATATACCCATTAATAGTAGAAGACAGGAAGATCAGATATGGGCCAAGCAAAGACTTACCACCAGCAGTGGAATAGCAGCAGTTTCTTCAACAACCAACAGCTCAACTTGTGAAAGCTTTTCATGCTCGTGTGGCCATATATACTGAATGAAATTGAGAAGGAAAAAAGAGGTCCTGAATTTCATTTACTTGTAATCTCATAGCAATGGTAAGTTTCCTAAACATCAATACATTTTTAAAGTTAAATATATCAATGCACACATACACAAAGACAGATAAATAGCACATACAAACATAAACAAACAAATATAGACATAACACAGACCAACAAAGTCACAAACACACCCACACAGAGGGAGTGAGAGAGATACATACACATACAGATAAAAACATAAACTAGACACAAACAAAGAGACATCCAAACACATATAAATTACACATACACAAGTAAAGACAAACGTAGATACAAAGATAAAGGCAGGGCATACACATGGAGAGACACCGGCACAAACACATCACTTGCAAAGTAACACATAGACAAACATAAAAACTGAGCAAATGCATAAACATAGAGACGAAGACAGCGCACATACACAAAACATAGATACAAGGCATTGATATGCACACACATAGAGACACGCAGAGACATATAAGCACACACAACATACAAAAACAAAGGCACAAACACACACAAGTCACAAACAACACACATAAATAAATAAAACATAAAATACACATCATCACAATCATAATCACAATAACAATAACAACAACTAGAATTACTAATCCATCGAATTGAAATTATTCCAATTCATTCAAGCATTTCACGTCATTTCACATCAAACCGTTTGATTTCAAAGCTAGATTTCAATCAAGAAGGGGTTCATTTTCCATTTGCACAAAATCAAGATGTCTTCTTTTCTTGTACTTCATCCATCAAAATTAGTCCTTCTATTTTTTTCAAAATAAAAGTTTAGGTGAACAAAACTAACTTAAATATCAAGTTATGATTTAAGTTATCAAATCTTGATATACGTGTAAAATGAATTTATTAAGAGGAAGGAAACAAATATAGAGGATAAGAAATCCTCCTTATATGATGGCTACAAAAAGTAAACAATGGAAATGACTCGAATGAGAATAAAGAATATTGATTCAAGAGTCAAGAGTCCCATGAAGGAAGCGACAAGGAGAACGAGAGAGAGAGAGGGGAAAGTACATGAACAAAATTTATGTAATATTTCAAAGTTAAAAACTAAAAATTAATGTGTTCATCCTTTTTTATTTGATCAATTCTTATTTTAATTTTAATTTGTGCATACCTTTTTACGTTAAAAAAAAAATTCAATATACTACTGTTTTACCGTACGAATTTTCACTCACCCGTTGGTCTGCAAAGCTCACGGATTATATTTCATATAGGGATAGTTTAGCCCAAAACAAATTATATTCTCTTACTAACCTTTTTATAAAATATTTCTTTTTTTATAAATTCAGTTAGTGAATTATTCAATATCGTTGGTCAATAATAACTAAAAGTTTTATCCCACTAGGTGAAGTCAACTACAAGGTCATTATTTGACTCCATTAATGACCAAGTTTTAGATATATGGTATTTACCGTGAGATCTCTCTTGACAACTTTCTCCAATGTCCTTCTCTTCAACTAGTGCCTCCCAGGGCCTTTGAACGAGTCCAAACCACCTTAATCAATTTTCTGATATGTTTTCTTCAATTGGAGTTGTACCAATCTTTCTTCATATCGTATATTTTCTTGTATGGTCATACATTCATCTTAACATTCTAAATCCTATCACTACCACCTTAAAGTCTAACATTCACTACACATGTATAGCCGAACATATAGTTGTACAATAAAACTTACTTGAGTTTGATAGGATCTTTGTGATCACAAATAGCCCCCAATACCTTTCTCCATTTTAGCAATACCGCTTGTATCATATGTGTGACTCCTCATTATATTCCCCATCATTTTGGGGTTTTGATCCCAAATATTTAAACTTTTGAAACATAAGATATGACATTTTCTCTTCTTGTCTCTTGCTAAAATTGTACAGCATATACTGTCTTACTACTACTTAAGTGAACATCAATTGTTTTCAAAGTCTCCCCAAAGTTCCAGTAGAGAGTTAACTGCTTCCCTTAATTCCTCAATCAAAACCATATATCATCTGCAAAAAAAATAAGCAATAAAGGATAGTGTTTTGTATCTCCCTGGTCAGCACAGCCATGACTATATTAAACTTGCTGTAATCCTTGTTCTATAAGAAACACACATACACAAAAAAAAGCCTACATAAACACACACAAAGACATACACAAACTCACAGACACACAAACATAGACAAAAACACAAACACACATACACAAAAAAAAGCCTACATAAACACACACAAAGACATACACAAACTCACAGACACACAAACATAGACAAAAACACAAACACACATACACACATATACAAATAAACACAAACGCAAAGCCACACAAAACAACAGACAAACAAGCACATAAATACATTCACACACATGCACACACACAAAGACACACATACACATGGACATAGACACACGAATAAACAGACATAGATACACACACAGAAACATAGAGAAACACACACAGAGAAACAAAAATACAAACACACAAACACAAACACCCAAACATACACACACAAATGCACATACATCCAAACACGTAAAAACACACACATAGACACAAACTCACAGACACACAAAACATATACAAAGACACAAACATACATGCATACAAATAAACACAAACAAAAAGTCACTCAAAAATAAACACAAAGATACATTCACACATATACACACAGACAAGAACACACATACACAGACACAAACATATACACACAGACAAATACAAAGACACAAACCCAAACATGAACCATCACGCACATACGTAGACACACGTACACACAAACACACACAGACACATGCATAAATATAGACAAAGACACAAATAGACGCGGGCACATAGGTAAATAAACACATAAAAATAGACAGAAAGACACACACACAAAAAGACACACAGACAAACATAGTTTAACACACGCTCACTCACATACAAACAAACACATTAAAACAAAAAGAAACACACACAGAAACACTAACACAGAGACACACAGACACACACACATAGACAAAGGCACAAACAACACACATAGATACACACAAACAACACTCACACAAACTTACAGACACACACAAACAACACTCACACAAACTCAAACACATCTCACATACAAACAAAAACACACACATAGAGACACAAAAATAACGCACACAAAAACACACGGACAAACAAACAAACACATCCATGCACAAAAACATACACAAAGAGATGCACACACATGGACATAGACACACACAAAAACTCACAGAAATAAACATACATAGACACAAAGGCACACACATAGAGACAACCACACACAAACAAAAATAGATAGACATGCACACAAGCATAGAAACACACACACATTGAGGCACACAAACAAACAAACACACAGGCAAACACATACAGGCACACACAAACATAAACAAAGACATAGACACACACACACACAAACAACAGACAGACAAACACATAGATACATTCACATCCATGCACACACAAAGACAAACATTGACACAGACCCACAAATACATAGTCGCACAGAGACACGCATACATAGATACAATTAAACACACACAAATGCACAAACAAACACAACCACACAAAAACACACACATAAACACAAACACCTAGACACACACACAAACATACATACACAAACACATATACATCCAAACACATAAACAAAGAGACACAGTCAGACAGACACAAATGAACACAAACACACATAAATAAACACACGCACCTGAACACGTACACACTGACACACAAATAAAGACACACACATAGAGGCACACAAACACACACAAGTGCATACACATAAAGAAACACTAAGGCAAACACATGCACACATAAAGAAATACAAATACACACAAAAAGAGACTGACACACACATAAAAACACTCACAACCATAAACAACCACAAGCAAACACACGAATACACAAAGACACACATAAATAGAGAAACACACACAGGAACACAAACACAAACATAGACACAAACACACACACACACAACACACATAATCACATGCACACACACAAATGTAGACAAACACACACGGATACACACACAAAAACACATGGACACAAACACACATAGAGATAGGCACAAACACACTGATGAGTCATTATTTTCCCTTATTTATTTATCTTTTGGTACTTATTTTAATTGTTAATTTGGGCTTAATCGCTTATTAATTGTACAGTTTCACTGTTTGGGCTTCATTGGGCCAGTAATTCGAATTTTAATTAATTCTGATTCACTTGGTCTAATTTTCAAACAAACACATTAAAACAAAAAGAAACACACACAGAAACACTAACACAGAGACACACAGACACACACACATAGACAAAGGCACAAACAACACACATAGATACACACAAACAACACTCACACAAACTTACAGACACACACAAACAACACTCACACAAACTCAAACACATCTCACATACAAACAAAAACACACACATAGAGACACAAAAATAACGCACACAAAAACACACGGACAAACAAACAAACACATCCATGCACAAAAACATACACAAAGATGATGATCAGCAGCAGTAAAATCACTTTATTATCAATCTTACCATCATATGTCATAACCAAAATTAGTATGCTTAACACTTAACAAAACAGTTATGCATCCATATGAAAAGAAATATAAATTGAAAGGTTTAGAATAAATGAAATAAAATAAATAAATTGAAAAGGGGAAAAAAGGAATAATTGACAAAGGTAAATAATCATATCAGCTAGACTAAAGTGGAAAAAAGGAAATAAATGGGAAAGAAAATTGAGACACGGCAGAGCTGTACGGTTCACTATTAATTTATTAAAGAATTCATCCATACAGACCAAAGTCAAAGCTACCTTCAGTTTGAGAAGCTCGTGCAGCTTCAAACTCTTTCTGTAGACGCTCAAATATTATCTTGTCAGAATCCCTATGAACCCAGTAAATATTTATAATATAAAAAAAGTCACTACAGCGTACAGAAGTAATGGACATTCTGAAACAATGATCATAATAAAAGTAGGCAGTCATTAAATGCATTGAGATTTTCACTAAGGAAAAGGGAAGAGAACTACATATCTTCAAGTGACCAAATAAACCTTGATTGTTATGAAGCAGTTTCAAAACATGTTAGAAATTACACATAAAACACTTATAAAGAAAATAAAAGTGAAAAATTGAAGAGATTTTTCTACCATAGTTGTCAATCCCAGATAGGGGAGCAAAGCAACCAATCCCAAAAGTGGGATAGCAGGATAGCAGATAGTGGTTTCTAACATTATATTTATGTTTCTATTAAATAATTAACAATATAAACTCAAAAACAGAAAAATTACTTAAAATTCATGCATTAACCATTTGGTTGGGCCATGGTTTTTCTGACCACCAAAGATGAAAAGAATAACAAAAATCTTCAGAGTATTTTACCTAGCAAGACGCTCTGTCAAATCTCCATGTCTTTTAATCAAACTTCCAACTGTCAAAGAAATAATAGAATAACTGACATGTTATCTATAAAATGCAAATAACACCAATGAGATTATAGACATACATCTAGCTCGTGTAATCTCCAATTGATTATCATCATCTTGCAAAAAATTCTGACAAAAAGAGAACCCAACTTTAGTTTCAGCAAAGAAAAATTGCCAATAAATAATAAATATAAAGAGAGAAATATATAACTCGCATATATACTCAAATCTTTTAACTAAAAATATTGAATATGTTAAAATGCACACTAACATTCAAAATTTATCTTCAAAGACATTATATGGAATTCACATATACAACTTTTTGCACATGAAGTTGAGTGAAATAATGATCAGTAAAACACTTTCATAAACACTGATATTTATTCTTAATTGATATGCACACACGTAGAGACACGCAGAGACATATAAGCACACACAACATACAAAAACAAAGGCACAAACACACACAAGTCACAAACAACACACATAAATAAATAAAACATAAAATACACATCATCACAATCATAATCACAATAACAATAACAACAACTAGAATTACTAATCCATCGAATTGAAATTATTCCAATTCATTCAAGCATTTCACGTCATTTCACATCGAACCGTTAAGCTAGATTTCAATCAAGAAGGGGTTCATTTTCCATTTGCACAAAATCAAGATGTCTTCTTTTCTTTTACTTCATTCATCAAAATTAGTCCTGCTATTTTTTTAAAAATAAAAGTTTAGGTGAACAAAACTAACTTAAATATCAAGTTATGATTTAAGTTATCAAATCTTGTTATACGTGTAAAATGAATTTATTAAGAGGAAGGAAACAAATATAGAGGATAAGAATGATGGCTACAAAAAGTAAACAAAGAAAATGACTCGAATGAGAATAAAGAATACTGACTCAAGAGTCAAGAGTCCCATGAAAGAAGCGACAAGGAGAACGAAAGAGAGAGGGGAAAGTACATGAGGGCGAGGCCGGAGGACCAGCCGAAAAGCTTGCCGATGTCGCTGGCAGTGGCGAGGACGGATTTCAGGGAGGAGGAGTAGTCGGAGAAATCAAAGTGGTGAAGGCGTTAATGGCAACCTTCCGAGATTGCCCCGCCATAGGGAATATATAGGTATCGTATCGCTTTCTTTCTTTGCGTGTTCCTCTACGTGGCCATGGACAATAATCACACCAATTTAATTTAAATATATATAAATTCCTAATATGTCAAAAAATAAATATGTATAGTAACTATTGAGAATATCCAGGTTTCAAATTGAAGACCCAGCATGAATCCGATTCAAGATTCATATTTTGATACAAAATCTATAAATTAATAACTATATTCGAGACTCTTAAAATCCATAAAGGTACAACAATTAAGTATAAAATATTTATTATAAGATAAAAATTAATTAAATATACTTTTAAATGCTTTAAACTTATATAAACAATTATATTTAGACTTAATTACATTTTTGATCTCTTGAGTATTGTAATTGTGCAATTTTGATCTCTAAAATTTTAATTGGGTAATTTTAGTCCTTAAAAGATTGAAATTATGCAATTTTAGTCTTTTAATTTTTAATTGAATAATTTTAATCTTTCAAATATCATAATTGTGCGATTTTAATCTCTTCTATTAAAATTTAATAATTTAAATTTTTTAATATATATATATATATATACAAATGATATATATTTATTATTACTAAATAAATAAAATTTATATATTATTAATATTTTAATATTGCTAATAAATTAATATCAATAATATTTTTAGTATATTTATAGATAAACTAATAATTTGATAAATATAACTTAGTATATATTAATATACTTTTACAAAAATATAAATATATTAGATAAGATATGTATATTTCTAATTAATATACTTATATTTTTGTAAAAGTATAGTAATATATAATAAGTTATATTTATCAAATTATTAGTTTATCTATAAATATATTAATAATATTATTAATATTAATTTATTAGTAATATTATCAAAATAATAATATATAAGTTTTATTTATTTAGTAATAATAAATATATATCATTTGATAATGAAAAATGAGAGAGACTAAAATCGTATAATTATATTATAATTTGATGGAATAAAATTGTTTAATTAAAAATTGAAGGATTAAAATTGCACAATTGCAATTCTTTAGAGACTAAAATTATCTAATTAAAATTTTAGGGATCAAAATTACACAATTACAATACTTGAAAGATTAAAACTGCAATTAAGTCTTATATTTAAAAGGAGGTAGAGTAATTGATAAAATAAGTTTAAAAAATATAAAAAGATAACAATGAATTACGTGAGATATGAGTATAAATAATTGATGTTATATTTTTTTTTAGTACCAAATTTCGCACACTTGAAAGAGAAATTAGTTTACTTTGTAAATGTCGTCACACTTAAATTTTTACACTTTCACTCCATTATCTCTTATTAAACAATACCAATATATTCACTCTCATCGCACCTTCTTTTCTTTTCTACGTGAATTTTAAAGAATATAAAACTATATACTTAAGACTACGATCTTCCACTTATACTAAGACTTTTATTTTTGCTTAGTGACTTTGTCAAATCTTTACCTCCATATATAACTAGTATATGTCAAGATTGAAATTAAAACAAGAAGATCTGCTACTATTAATTTGAATGTAGGAGACAAAATGGCCTAGTCAACCAAAAGGCAACAAATAGTGGTCTCTAGAAAAGTGGTGGCAGATGATGATGAGAGAGGGCACAATTTGCCATAATGTCGACGTGGCTAAACTTCACCTTCCATTACTTTCCACTCTCCATTTAATCATATCATAACATCAATTTGGTGACTTCATCATAATGAGAATCGACTTGCACTTTAATCCTTCGATCCACCACCAATCTTAGCCAAAGTAATGGAAGATTCATCATAGTTTAAGCGAAAGAAATGAACCCCCGACGAAACCAGAGCACTAGAAGGCTTCTCATATTTAATTGAGTTGGGAAGGATGTTCAAAGATGCCCTTCTCATATTTGATTTTCCCTTTACTTTTTCTGACCAAACAAGTTTTTAACTAGCATGATTTAATAAATAAATATGTATTATTAAGATAAAAAGATGGAAGTGTTTCAATATTAATTAATACGGTTATTTAATGTATTCTTTATTATTAGATAAATTTTATGTTTACTTTTTACTAGAAGTTTACAACCTATTTTCCGTCTAGCTTACTTTTATCATATATATATTTTTTTTTTTAAATAATAGTCTATGTAAATACCATTCGGGTTATTATATTATCACTGGAGTGTCATGTCTAAATTAATATACTTAGTCATCATCAACTAACAATTAATTTTAAAATTATGAAAATTTTAAAATTAAAAACTAATTTTTTAATAAAATTATAAAGAATCAAAAGTAAAATATAACTTATAATATTTATATAATAAAAAATTTAAGTTCTCATTTTAATTCTTGCACTTTTAAACTTATCAAGTTAAAAACTATTAACTAAAAAAATGTTTTTTCTTATTCGATAGAAGACTGCATGTCTACATCTTCGTTCTCACACATATCCTAAAAAAATCATCAAAATGAAGACTTTTTCAACGGATTAGAGGTGTTTAGGAGTTGAATTGGTTTAAATTTGGATAAAAAAATTAATCTAAATTAATTAAATTTAATTAATTTGGATTGATTCAAATTTTATAATTTTTTATTTATTTAATTCAAATAATTTATCAAATATTCAAATAATTTATCAGCACTATTTTTTTAATACAAGTAATTGGTTTGGATTGGTTTGAGAATTAAAGTTGTTGATAATATTCAAATAATTTATCAACACTATTTTTTTATTCACCTAATACATTAAAAAAAAAACTCGGGACAAAGTTAATCCGTAACCCCATCTCGAATGAATAGCAAATATTTTGACCAAAAAAAAACAACTTAAAAGACTAAAAGCAAAAGTAGTCAATTTTGAAAATATAGTTTTGTTTAAAAATTGAACAAATTAAAAATGGCTATAAAAGCACATGGCAAAGTTAATTTTTAGATTTTATTTATAATATTTAAAATAAAATCAATTTAGTTTTCTAACGTCCCTTTAGTCATTAATTTAGTTTTTAAATAAAAAATAAATCATGGTTGTCAAAACAAAAAATCATTGTCAAAATTTTGTAAAGTACCAACATAATCTTCCTTATGATGAGTTGAAGTATTTGCGGAAATTAAAAAAAAATCAAAGTAATTCGACAATTATTGATTGGGTGGAAGAATCAAACAAGACATCATTTTCAGACGAGGAATATTTGGGCGTTTGTTATTGGCATTTGGAAAAGGCCCGCGTAATATCTGGCATGCTCCTGTTATTTTCCTTTTTTTATTTCAATTGTTTCCTCACTTACTTGTTTTTGTTTTTAGTTTAGTTTTTTCACTTTCCATCAACCGAGTTCAAACATTTATTATTCTTTTTGATTTTGGTAAGTTCAAGTTCAACTATCAGCCAACAGTGGCTGCAACTTCTATGGTCTCCAACTCCAACGGAAGGAAGGGAAAAAGTAATTCACTTTCCCTTTCACCAACCAGTAGAAAAAGTTAAAGTTAGTTAAAGTTGAAAATTTTCAGTTAGATTCCCCCTCACTTTGGTTTGATCTCTACGCTCCTCATCTCATGTTCCAATCCCTTCATTTGATTCTGCGGATTGAAGCCACAGGTGAAGTTGCTCTCGCTTTCTCTCTCTTTGGTATTTTATGTTCTGATATGGATGAACTAGCTACAATTCAAGTGGTCATTTTTTTTTTTTTTTTTTGGTGTTGGGATCTTTATCAGCCATTTGGCCTTTTTCTAGAGATATTCCTCATTTAATGCTGGACTGAAGAGGGTAGAGTAGAATTATTAAATGTTTTCCTTTTGTTTCAGGATTAGGAATCTTGACTTAAATAGTTGGATTTAAATAGTTATAATAAGGATAGCCCATTGATCTTTTTTCAGTAAAGACCGTTACTTTGAGATTGTTTGTTTTATTCTTGTAAAAGGGGAACACAAATGAAGAAAAGAAAAAGAAAAGAAGTGTTTTTTGCTTTCTGGGGTTGGGAATTTTTGAGTTGAGGGTTGTGAAATGTGACCTGCAGGTAGAAGCTTGTCTTTTCTCTTTTGGCAGGTCTGCCCCTTTCCTTTGGCCCCAATTTGTAAAGGTTTGATTTTGAAGAGGAAGCATATAGTTCTACTATAGTGGAGATCTGGGACTTGTTTTGCCTCTTATGCCCTATGAGGACTTTCTTCACTGCAGAATCATGTAAAGAAGCACACCCTAATGCTTTAAATCCACAGTCCTGGCTCCAAGTTGAAAGAGGGAAGCTTCCCAAATTGTCATCACAGTCCTCCTCTGCATCAATGTAAGTTTCTCAGTTCAATATTTTTATTTTGAAGCTTAAAGTTTTTAGCCGTTTCACTGAATTAAGTGGTTTACTGCTAACTGCCATAGAGAATCTCTAATCAAGGTCCCTCAGCCGCCTATACTCCCATTCTTCAAACCTGCTGATTATGTGCAAGTTTTAGCTCAAATTCATGAAGAACTTGAGTCGTGTCCTCCGCATGAGCAGTCAAATCTGTTTTTGTTACAATATCAGGTCTTTAAGGGCCTGGGGGATGCTAAACTGATGCGTAGAAGTCTCCGGTCAGCTTGGCAGAGAGCAAACACTGTTCATGAGAAGATTATATTTGGGGCATGGCTCAAGTATGAGAAGCAAGGGGAAGAGTTAGTTGCTCAGTTGCTCACAGCTTGTGGTAAATGTGAAAAGGAATTTGGCCCCATAGATGTAGAATCTCATATTCCTTTTGATAAAACTATAAGTTCCCCGGATAGAGTTTCCATGAATGGGAACAACGCTTCGCAATATGTTACCTTTACAATTGGAGATGAGAAGATAGTTTGTGATCGACAAAAGATTTCTGAACTTTCAGCACCATTTCATGCAATGTTAAAGGGGGGTTTCAGGGAATCGCTTTCTGAGACTATTGATTTGTCTGAAAACAATATCTCTCCTTCAGGTATGAAGGCAATAAGTTATTTCA